AAACATTACCCTTATAGATATTTTGGTGGTAAAGATTACCGTCAGAGATTTATTGGTGGTAAAGATTACCTTTATTGATTGGTTGCTGGTAAAGTTACCCTTATTGATCAGTTGGTGGTATAGATTTGATTGGTTGGTGATGAAGATTACCTTTATTAATGGATTGGTGGTAAAGTTACTCTTATTGATCGGTTGGTTATGAAGATTACCCTTATTGATCAGTTAGTTGTAAAGATTACCCTTATTGATGGGTAGGGATTAAAAGATTACCTTCATTGACTGGTTGGTGGCAAAGATTACCTTTATCGATCGGCTGGTGGTAAAGATTACCTTTATTGATCGGTTGGTGGTATAGATTACCTTTATTGGACGGTTGGTGGTAAAGTTACCCTTATTGATCAGTTGGTAGTAAAGATTACCCTTATTGATCGGTTGGTGGTAAAGATTACCTTTATTGATGGGTAGGGATTAAAAGATTACCTTTATTGACTGGTTGGTGGTAAAGATTACCTTTATTGATCGGTTGGTGGTAAAGATAACCTTTTTTGATCGGATGGTGATAAAAGTTACCTTTATTGAGTAGTTGGTGGTAAAGTTACTGTTATTGATCGGTTGGTTGTGAAGATTACTTTTGTTGATTGGTTGGTGGTAAAGATAACACTCAATCATCTGTTTGTGGTAAATACTTGTATTACCCTTGTTGATTGGCTGGTGTTAAAGATTACATGTATCCTTACTGATCGGATGGTGGTAAAGGTTAACCTTAATAGTTGGTTGGTGGTAAATATTTCCGCTCGACTTTTGTGGTCAAGATTACTATTATTGATATATGACTTGTAAGTTTGCCATAAGTTTACTGATATTGATTGAGTGGCGGTAAAGATTACCCAAATTGATTTGTTGGCAATAAATCAATAATAATTATTATCATTGTGGGCACTAACCATTACCCAAGATTACCCATGTTGATTGGTTGGTGGTAAGAGTTACCTTTACCAATTGGTTAACAGTTAAGGTTACCATTATTGATTGGTTGATGGCAAAGAACACTCTTATTATTTGTTAGTGGTAAAGATTACCCTTGATGTTACTGGCGGTAAGATTATCCGCGGTGGTAGAAAAGACTACCCTTTTCGATCTGTTTGTTGAAACGATTGCTCTTTGATCAAGATTACCCTCAGTGATCTGTTACCATTATTGATTTGTTGTGTGTAAGGATTTCCCAATTGATAATTTGGCAGGGATCGATTACCCATATTTATATTTAGGTTACATCAAAAATACCGCCTTATGTTTTGTTGGCAGTAAATATTTTGCATATTGATTCTTGAGCGAAAATAGATTACCCATAATTATATTTTGGTGTCAAAATTATTACTCTTACTGATTTGTGCTAGGTAAGGATTAAATTACCCTTATTGATTTGTTGGCTGTTTC